TATATATATATATATATTATATATATAAAATATATAATATATATATATATATTTTTTTTTTCCAGTCAAGGAGATAAACTTTCAGATCCCCCTGCTGTCCCCACTTTCAGAGACCTTAACGTACCCAATGCCCCTATAATACCGACACTCCGATTTGTTTCCTACACACTGGGGATCTTAGCTTTCTTTGCTGCTGTCTGGAAAAATGACTCCCATTAGTATTAGTATGGTGCTTTCTAATTTAGAAAGCTATGTATTCCTTTAATCCATACAAAAATATTCTTTGAATATTGGGCCAGGCATGGTGGTATAATGGTGACAGGTGTTTCACTTTATGCTAGAAGTCTTCATATGGGACAGGTTATTATCCCCATGTTACAGATGAGGAAATTGAAGCTCAAAGAGGTACCTTACCTGCTGTTGCAGAGCTGATGTGTGGCAGGGCAGGACTGGAGCAGATGTGTGTCTGCTTCCTGTGCTCTCTCCCCCATATCCTGCTACCTCCTGGAATCTTGTGGAGCTAGCTGGCCTATCAGGCTTCAGACATGGAGTGGAGTTATTGAGTGGGTGATGTCATCGGGCAGCGTAATGGGGTTTCTGGGATGCAGCAGTGATGAGGAAAGTTCTTGATAAACTCTGGAATGGGACTTCTGCATAGGGAGGCCACTGCCATCTGTGCATTTAACAAATATTTATTGAGTGCCTGTGTATCCACAGGCACTACTCAGGGGCAGGGGATACACTGGTTGGGGAAAAAAAAAAAAAGATCATGGTTTCTCCTCCATGGAGCATAGAATTTGAGTGAGAGAGAGAGAGAGAAAGGGAGAAAAGGGTGGAAGTAGGGAGGGAGGGATGAGGGGCAAGGGAGGGGGAGGAGGGAAAGGTATTAATGAAATAATCTCATAAATCCATGTAAAAATGCTACTAGGATGAGTGCTGTGATAAAGAGGTGCATGGCGCTAAGAATTGATCAAAGCATTTGGCCTACTCAGGGCACAAACAACAAACCCTAAGGGGTTGTTGAGGTGAAAACGGGTGGGTTGGTGTCCCTTGTTCCTGCTGGTACCACTCTGTCTGCACCAGTTCTTAGAACATGAGGTGGAGGGAGATAAGGCATGGCTACAAAGTAGGGTGGTTGTGAGCTCTGAAGGCTGGGTTAGGGAGGCCTATGCAGGGGGTATCCTGTAGGGTTGTGGCCCTGGGTGTCCTTCGGCATAGACAGATATTTTGGAGACTTGGCATGGGTGAGGGGGCAGATGGCAGGTGGCCACCTGCCATGTCCTTTGGAGATTGGTCATCTGCTTGACCCATCACTAGCACACTGTGCTCTCATCTGATCCCATTGGGGTAGGTGGTCTGAGAAATAGGGCAGATGTTGCTATTCCCATTTTACAGATGAGGAAGCTGAAGCTCAGAGAGGTCATCCAACTTGACCATTTCACATAGCTATAAAATGGCAGCGCTGGGATTAGAAACCGGGCATCCGTACTCCTGATACAGTGCTCTTTCAGCATGCTCAGACTACAGCCGTTCTGAGACCCCAGGACAGGAGCATGTGTTTGGGGCTGGCTGGTGACTTCCCATGGGGTGAGGCTGAGAAGAGGAATAATCTGAAAAGCCAATGGGCATCCCAAGCCCAGTTTGAGAAGATTGAGATGGGCAGGGGAACAGAGTTCAACTCCAGGATGACAGATCTGACCAGAGGGACCTGCTCCTAGATGCCACCTAGAGTCATAATTTCAGAGATGCAGGGATACCTTGGAGTCAGCCACTTCAGCCCCTTTTCATTGTACACATGGAAAACTGAGGACGAGAAAGGGCGAGTGACTTTGCTCCCTTCTTTCCAAAGATGATACCCCTAGAACCAGCCATGACTGCCTTCCCCTAGGCAGGGAGTGAGGGTGGCAATTCCAACATGCCCCTTGGGCCTCTGCATGTCCCTACGGTGCAGGGGGATGACAAGGTGTTCCGACGGGCGCCCTCTTGGAGGAAACGCTTCCGGCCACGGGACCACCACGGTGGCATGCTCGGCACCTCGGCTGAGACCCTCCCGGCAGGCTTCCGTGTGTCCACCCTGGGGCCCATGCAGCCCCCAGCGGCCCCGCCTAAGAAGATCATGCCTGAAGGTGAGTGGCAGGCTGGCGGGGCATGGCCGAGGCCCAGCAGGGTGCGGGCTCCTGGCCTGGCCTCCAGGGGCCGGGCCGGGTGGAGAGGGGCAAGGCCGGAGGCTGGTGGCCCCACGCTGGCTCCAGGCTGATGCTGCACTAACGCTGCTGCCGCGGGCCGGTCCCCACGGCGGGCGGGCGGGTGGGCGTGTGCGCACACTAACCCACCGCTCTGTGTGTTCTCCCCGCGGCTGCCGACTCTCCCAGCCGGGACGGCGGGGGCGCAGAGACTGGAGACCTCCACGGTTCGCACCTACTCTTGCTGATCCCCCACCCTCCCGCCCGGGTCTGACGGGGGTGTGCCCGTGGCTCGGGGTAAGTGGGCCAGGCCCCAGGGTATGGGCGCTCTGCTTGCCGGGCCTCAGCCCCCCTGCGCCTGCCTCTGGCCGCCCGCCTGGCCCTGCTGCTTCAGCCCTGCTCACCAGCACTGCCCGGCTTGCCCCTTCCTGCTTTGTCTGGCCTGGGGCGCTTTGCACTGAGAAGCAAGCTGCAGATACCCTGCAACCCTGTCTCCTGGAGACTGACTCCCGACTCACAGCAATGCTTGTCTCTCTCTCTCTCTCTTAGCTCACTCCCATTATCTCTACGGACACATGCTCTCCGCCTTCCGGGACTAGCCACCGCCCCCAGCGCCGGCTTCCTCCTGGGTTTCACAGGCTCACCGGCCCTGACCCCTCCTGCTCGTCCCCCTTCCTCCCATGGCTCCTAGTCTCCTCTGTGGCTTTCCAGTTGCCCTGGATCTCATAATATACTTGTCCACCTCCTCAGCATTCCACTACCCTGAGTCCCACCACGTGTCCTTTGTAAGTCTCTGGTGGATGTGGTTGGGGTCTCCTGGAGTTGTGGAGGCATCCAGGGTGTCCATGCTTGGGATTCTGGGGCAAGGAGAGAGGGCAGCCCAGGGCAGTATGACTCCACCCTCCCTCTTCTGAACCTAGCCTGGTATTGACTGCAACCTTCACCAGGACCAGGATCCTGGGCCAAGAGCTGGGAAGGTCCTTCCTTCCAAGAAAGGGGCACTTCAGACTCTGCTCTGCTTGGGCTACTCCGGCTGTGGGGAATGGTCTGACAGCTGGTTTTAGCACCCCCAGTGCTACCCCTCCCCCAGCCTCTCACCACAACTGCAGCTCCTGCCTGTAGGACCTGCTTGGGGGCTGAGAGGGGCTGCACAGGCTGCATTCTTAGGCTGGGAGGAGGAATACAGAAGTAGAGATTCCAGGCCCTGGCTTAAGCTGAATCCCAAATATGAGTTTGGGAAGAATCAGAAAGACATGGACCCTTGAGCTTTGGGCCAAGGGTGAGGATGGAGAAACTCTAATCCCCTCTGCCCAGTGAAAGGTGTAGGCAGGCTAGGCAGAGGGAAAGCTGGTGGCCTCTGGCGGGTAGCCTTAAGCCCAAAAGACAGTGGGAATGCCCTTGCACCCACCATAGGGTTTAGTTCCTGCTGGGCTGGGGGAGAGGAGCTTGTGTAGATCTTGGCTCTGGGACAGGACAGATCTAACCTTGTACTGCTGACTTTGCTCACAGCATCCCTTCCCTTGCTGTCCCCCCCCACCTCACTTATTTAGTAATCTCAGTCCCATAAGAATGAACCTGATGGCTAGGTTGAATATACATTGACCCTAAGATTAAATTTGGGAGAAAAGCAGTCTGAGGTTTCCTTCCTCTGACCTCCCAGGAAGAAAATAAAGCTTCTCCTTTAGTGAATCATGTTCCAGGTCTAGGAAATCCAATGTTGGTGAAGGCAGTCACCCTCCTGCCCAGCCCTTGCACAGGGCTCTTTTGGTGTGCAGGGACTGCCTCCTCCAGAAATTCCTAGGATCTGCCCAGCTTTCACCATTTTTTAATTGCCTTCCCCAGCAGCATGGTGGGAACCAGGGCTGAGGGCTGCAGGTCCTGGTTTGGTAGGAATATTATCCCCAAGAAATCCCTCTTCCACACCCATTCCCTCATCCTTCCAACGTGCCTGAAAGTGTTTGGGACCCATATTCAGGGTGGGTCGGTGGAACCTAGGGCTTCATCAGAGTGAGAGTAGAGTAAAGCATCTGGAGCATGTTTCTTGGAGAGGGGCCAGTGCAGTGCCATCTTCCAGGTGGCTGGAGCAGCTGGTATGCAACCTGATCAACTTGGGTTCCGAGCAGGGGCCAGGCTAGCAGGTGGGATAACCGGTCAGAGCACCCTGTCCAGAAGGAGCAATGGAGCCTGGCAGCTGTGCCAGGGCTTAGTAGAGGAGAGGCTCACTGGTGGTGGGGCTGTGTGGGCTCTCTCCTAGGCTTGGGCAAGGCAACCACCTGCCCTTGCTCTCCCTCATTGCTCCCTACCCTCTCCGTCCATCAGGCTGCTGGGATTGGAGATAGAGAAGTTATGGAGCAGAAAATGAGTTGGATGGAGAGAAAGAGCCCCCATCCCTGGGTAATGGATGCTAAGATTATGGAGAATCCCCAAATTCCTAAGATTGGTGGAGATGAGCGTGACAAGGCTGTCTTACCCCTTCAAGGAACTCTCAGTGGGCTGGCTATATGGGAGATGCAGCCCAGCCTCTCTTCTCTACAGCTTAGCCCCATTGTGGTTGGCTATGTCATAAGGCAGCAGATGGGCGAGCCAGGTTCATTCAGGGCACCTTGGGAAGTATTGCAGGGAGGTGATGGAGGCGAGAAATCTGTGCACACAGTGATGGAAGGCTGTCGTCTTGGTGGGTCCCTTGCTTCAGAGTCAATACATTTTTTTGATTGGAGAGTCGCCAGTGACCCAAGCCCTCCTTACCAGCCTCCTGTATCTCATCAGGTCCCTTCTCAGTACTGTATTGGCTCAGTGCATCAGGAATGGGTGTGTGGGTGTGTGTGGGTGTGAGTGTGGGTGTGTATGTGCCAATAAACAACCTGGTTTTAAGACAATGTACAAATGGTCTCTAATCTCTTTTTTTAAACTTTGAGCTCACTTGACATGTCTATCTTCTCACAGTCCTAAGGGCTACTGTACTCTGGGAGGGAAATCTCAGAGTTTTGAAGACTTATAGTCAATATTCTGTTTACTTATGTAAGCACAGGATTGATGGGGAGGTTAATATTGGGGTTGCTTGTGCCCAGAGAGTAAAGGATGGAGGAGGGAGGAGCCCGGCTGCTGGGCTTGACTGATTTCTCGCTCATCTCTGCTCACCTGGTCACACTTCCTCTGCTCGTACTCTTTCACGCTGCTCCCAGAGTTAGTCCTCCTAGATGCCCCCTGGTCACCTCTCCATGGTTCCCACTTTCAGCAGCCTCTAGATCAGAGGTCCAGCTCCTCCTCGGTGGGGCCTGAGAAGCCATTCATGACTTGGCTGCTTCACCCTCTCCTCCTCCTGCCAGTCTCAAGCCCGCCTAACTCAGAAACGTGTGTGACCCAGCCCCGTCAGCAGGAGGCAGCATGACCCTTCTCGCCTTGCCTTTGCAGCTTTGGACCTTCAGGCCCACTTTAAGCATCACCTAGGATGCATTGCCTGCCCCTGCCCCGTAGAATTAGGTGAGCAGCACCCCTTTGGTCCTGGAGCACTGTAGGCACGCTGCAAATGCTGCCCGGTAACAGTGGTCTCCTTGTCTGTCTTACACTGGGCTGCAGGGATGCTCCTTGAGGTCAGTCTCGTTGATCTCTACATCCTAGATGTACATACTTGAATGAATAAATGAACCAACCTTATCTCAAAGGGTTGTTAATACGATTAATATTAATAAAAGCTAAAAATTATTGAGTACTATCGTGTGCCAGACACTGTTCTAAACATTCTGTCTTATTTCATTCCTACTACTATGACAAAATACCTTAGGGTAACTTATAAACAATAGAAATTTACTTCTCACAGTTCCAGAGACTGGGAAGTCCAAGGTCGAGGCACTGGCAGAGTCGGTGTCTGGTGAGGGTAGGCCTGTTCCTCATAGATGGCACTTTCTTGAGGTATCCTCACATGGTGGAAGGGGCAGAGGGCAAAATTGGCTCAACAAGCTCCCTTAAGCCCTTTTGTAAGAGCACTAATTCCATTCATTAGGGTGGAGCCCTCAGGGCCTAATTGCCTTCTAACGCCCCACCTCCTAATTCTATTGCACTGGGGATTAAGTTTCAACATTAATTCTGGAGGGACACAAACATTCAAATCATAGCACATACTAAATGTATTAACTCATTTAATTCTCCCAGCCCTGGAATGTATTATCCTCATCATTTTATAGAACAGGAGCCCCACCTCCTAATTCTATTGCACTGGGGATTAAGTTTCAACATTAATTCTGGAGGGACACAAACATTCAAATCATAGCACATACTAAATGCATTAACTCATTTAATTCTCCCAGCCCTGGAATGTATTATCCTCATCATTTTATAGAACAGGAAATTATAAGGCTAAGATCACACAGCTGGTAAAAGACAGGTGTGGTTCTCAAACCCAGGTCTTCCTGACTCTACTGCCTTGCACGTCACTGCAAAATGTATGTTTAAAGGCCTGACCCAGTGCCAGCAGTGCTTTACAAATGTTACTTGCTTCTCTTTTAAGTGTACACATGCCCCTGCCGCTGAGCAAGCCAGTTACCCAGCTTCCTTTTCCCCACTCCTGTGTCTGTACCACTGTGGTCCTTGGCTTCTGTGAATCTTCGTGGGGCCATATTTCTTCAGCTCACATAAGTGGTGAACTCCCCTTCAGACAGTGTCACGCACCGTGCATGCTTGTATCCTCTCCAAGGCCAACAGTGCCAGGATGGCAGAGTCCGTGGGCACAGATGACAAGATGGGAGAAAAGCAACCTGGACATAGCCCAGTGATGGCAAACAGGCAGGGAAGGTGCCGGCTTCATGCTTACTGGCTTCTGGGGGTTCCCTCCCACTCTCTCCATAATCAAAGGTAGAATTGATGAGCCCTGGTGACCAGCTGGCTACAGGAATGAGGTCTTAAGGGATCCAGGAAAACTACCACTTCCCTGTGTTGCTATTCCCTGGGGTGGAGGGTGCGGAATGAGCAGGCTTATGTGGAAATGTGTTTGGTTTTGCACGTGCTGAGCTTGAGATGAGACCCCCAACATCAAGTTTCTGTCAGCATTTGTAGAAAAGAGAAGAATCTAGGTTTCTTTCCTGGAACACTTTTCTCTGCCTCCTCTAGAAATGTTCCAAGCAGAATGAGAGGCAGGGAGTCTGGGCCTGGGTGGTGGCCTGTGGCAGAGGGAGGACAGGGATGCAGCACAGCCAGAATTGTGGGGGGCTAGTGATTTGGGTTTCCACACGGGCCTGGGCTGTGCTTCCTTAGCCGAGACCCCAGCTCAACTTGGAGGCTTCCAGTCCTCTCCCAGAGCTCTAGCTCACCTCCAGGCTTTTCTGCCTCAGCCTGGATCCCAGAAGCCAGGAATTCGGAAAAGCCCAAGGGATGTGACATGTTGGGGATGGTGTTTTTTCCATGAAACAGCTACCTGAGTTGAGGGGGCTTCTCTCTCCTCCCTCTCTATTGTTCCTCCTCCACCCTGTGCAGTTGGTCCACCCGCCTACCACACACCTGCAGCACTTAAGAAGATTTTCCAGTCTGCCAAATAAATTACTTTGAGAAGTTAAACACCTAAGAATGTTTATTGGAGTGCAACAAATAGTACTTTAAGCATTCTGCAACTCACGTTAGTTACCTGAACACTCTAATAAGTTCCTATTTACACATTAACGATTGGAATGTCAATTTTAAGTAATTCTTATCTTTTCATTCTAGTAGATTCCCTAAAGTCCATTATTAGGCAACATTTGATTAACCCAGTTTGATTTATTGTAGGTGCTT